TAAAATTTTTATGGAAGATATTCGAACTTCTTGGTAAACAGAAAAAAAAGAGTTACCACAAGAACATCAATTAATAGAACGATCAAGTCTTAAATATCCACCACAAGAACTAAGAATTATCTTTTCAGCCAGCACTAGGAGATTTACCGTGACCGGCTTTACTTTGCCTGTTCCGATGGTTTACGCTATAGAGCCTGAAATTCCTGTTAAGGTTCCTGGCATTGCAGTTAGCAAGGAGGCTGCTAACGCATTTGTATCACGTCTTGTAATGCGAAACAGTGAGTTTATGTCTTTTGAATTTTTAGTTGTTTTGTGAAATGTGGGAAGAAGTAGGAAGTGAGCTTGAGTTTTTTGACAATCTAATAGTCCCGCGGAGTAAATACACCTGGCACAACATTATAGAACATTTCAAACTAAGCCATCATTATAGTGAAGAAAATGTATTTTAGGTCTTTGATGTTCTCGAACGGCAGGGTGGCAGTGCAGCCCTCCCTGATGCTATAATCTTGGCCATCTTAGATCAAAGTACTATTCAAATCAGTTATGAGCCACTGGGGTGCAAGGCAGTAGGTGATGAGAAAGCTCTAGCAGGAGTAGACGGCAGTGAGTTTTGATTCATTTCTATGGAAGGCACTTCTTCAGACTGAGATCTTCACTGTGCTGCTTCCTACAATTTATGCTGTCTGCACTGATATAGATACTGCTGTAACGCTTCACTGCCGCTATAGTTCATTAATACTCTAAGTAAATATGTTGCATTAGGATTGAGCCTCAATTCTCTTCTCTTGTAGAGCCAGTCGTTAGTGTTAGTGGAGATACGGTCCGAGCTTCTTGTTCGAATATCTGAAGCATACTCGGCACAACTTTTCAGTTCGTCGACAAGCAGCTCGTAATCTCGGTAGCATCTTCCCTTATCTGTCAATCATGTTTGGATAGACTTCGTTTAAAATGCCGTCATAGCAAAAGACTTGATTTTTTCCTCGATCGATGACATGAATTCTCCTCCAACATACGACTATCGAATCTTCGCACAAAGTACGGACTGACTGTACACAGTCTAGAATGATGAGACTGCGGATGTGTCAAGAAGGCACTATCTTATTTGTGAGTATGGTTGATTTTCGCAAGTATCGTGCCACCAGGTGATTCCTATGTCCAGTGGTGATTTTCTTTTTCTTCGGAAGAGAAATTTTTAATAGAGATGAAGTATCTCCATAATTGTAACTAAATAAATCTCTAAGGAATTTGCAGTCAAGTGATACAACGCACCTCGAAAGCAAAACAACTTTTTCCATTAGTAAATCGTAGTATGAAGTCTACCCAGAAATCAAGCTCAGTACAAAAATCGCCAATTTTGAAGCTACCAAGAACATTGAGTAGAAAATAAACAGTCATATACCAACTAGAAATATGCTTGTTTTTATAGCGATGTAGTTTTCTCGTTGAACCATGAATATATACACGTATCATGGAACATATAAATGCTCTTCTCACCAGAATTATCTCTGTAGAAGCCTTTTCAGTAACAGTCCATCATTACATAATAAAAATCTTACTTCAGAAGCTGGGCTCGTCTCCTCCTAGCCATCGTCCGAAAGGTCTTCAGATGCGCAGGCATACAGCTCTGCGAGCATGTCTTCCGATGAAATGCACCGCCTTTCTCAGTGGGCACAATCTTCGCCATTACAGTAGCTAAATGAAGTTTGACGCCGCCTTGCGTGGGACGAAACGTTCCACATGTCCCCTGAAGAGTTAAGGATGAAAGAGCATTTTCAAATGTTTATGATATCGTTTCCAAGATATTTATTTTTGGTGACAGAAGCTTGGCCGGACCTCGTACTATTTAATTCGGAGATGAATTTTGGGCAATGATAAAAAGTAATTAGAAACCAAAAACCAGCGGCCGTTCAGGATCGATGTAAAAGCTGAATCACGAACTTACACAAATGTAGTATTTCATTCTCGGCTCTATTGAACGAATATGGAAATGCTAGAATTTTTAATCATGATATGGAACTGATAACGGAAAGATTCTGCACCATCAGCCTCAGGAGCCGATACCATCATTGTCGACTTTCTAAACGCTGGAGGTAATAATCTAAATACACTGCTCGCTACACATATGACATCCTATTTTCAAAAGGAGGAAATTTCAGACCAGTGGTAGATGTTGCTCACAGTCCTCCTTCACAGAGAAGGTGACCGAAGCTATCTAAGTAACTAAAGTCCAAATTGCTAGCTAAGTGTACTTTATAAGGTCTTTATGAAGATTATGCTGTGCACATATCAGAAACTTTTAATGAGGCAGAACCATATGAGGAAGCAGGTTCTCGAAAGGAATTTTGCCGCATGGACCACATTCAAACGTATCGAGAGTCATAAAAGTCTACTAAGAATATTACCTGCCCTTGATTCTAATTTGGGTTTGACGGGTGCAAAATATCGCCAAAACTGTTCAACGCTGTTCCAAAGCATACGGACTGACGGAGAATTCCTATCGGACCTTCGTTTTGTGGACGACACACGAAGCTCACATAACTCATCGAAGCGGGAACAAAGATCGGATCACGTATAAATTGGGCAATGACCCGTTCACGAGAAATTCGTATTACAAATGATGTATTAATACGATGAGTAATATGTGTTACCATGACTAGTGGTTTAATGGTGAACAAGTAGAGATGGATTTATATCTAATCGCAGAAATCAGCATGGAAAATAATATGAAGGAGGAACAAGACAGAAGAAGTAGAGAAGCAAAGACCACATTCGGACTTCTCAAAGATGCTACTGAGCAAATAATGAGCCCCAGACTCCTTGCTCACTTTTGCAATTCAACAGTCCTTCCAGTGTTCTGATAAGCAACCGACACCTGGGCTGATATTTCGACCACGTCAAAAGTGCTAGGATCGATTTGTAAAGCGCTGGGACGATGTCCTCTAAAAAACTAGTTGACGCACACAACATCTGGCCTGCTTGTGCAACTCACTTCGAAGTCTATCCCATTTTGGTAAATCAGGAGACCGCACATTTATAGCGGAACACAGATGGGCCGGTCATATAGAATTTATTATTTCATCATGTATTAACCCGAGTAAAAAACTAAAGGATGAAAAAACTAGTTTTCGTTTCGAACCGGATTTCTAATGAAACCAAATATTTGGCAGAGGAAGTCAATTGCAGTCCCAGCAGTCGAGGATATGAACCCGAACTGCATCATCATTGGCAACACGGTGACCTCCTTATGCGTTGGAAAGGCGAATGCTAGAGGAGGAAGGTGTATGGCAGGCATGGACGCAAATATCGAGTCTATTCCCTCCAAGCATTTGTCAATCTCAGGAACTCTTACGGTTTGAACAGTTCCTACTCTTTGAGCGCGATTTTGATTATTCGAAAAACTGAATAGTTGCAGGCTACAAATGTGATCATGGCGAATTGGTCAAAAGAGATGTGGCAAAGTGTAGTCAATAGAGCAATTCGAGTGTTAGCATCAGGCCCGTTTGGATCGCATTTCTTCACGGCAATTGCTGTCGTCAGTTGAAAATAAACTCAACTGTGAACTGTGGAAAAAGTGTGCACTTATTTAATTTTTGCCCCCTTTCACTCTGTAAGGTTAGTAAGCTTTCAAGCCTTAGTCGGAGAATTCTGCTAAAAATTATGTTATCAATACGATGAATAATATGTGTTACCCTAAGAAGTCAACTGAAAAATTCCTCCCCAAAAAGTTTTTGGAATAAAGTTTTCAGCGTTCATGAATAAAGATACTCCTATCAGTATGATAGTTCTCCAAAAATTCAACGCAGACACAGCGCTCGCTTATCGCATCATGACCTTAGGAGGAACAGAAGCACGTGCAAGACAAAGTAGCTTTGGAAATCAAATAATAGAACATACTGAACTGAGGCTAAACAAAATCCTGAACTATCAATGAGGAAGACTGTTGTAAAAGTCACTCGTTCCGTCCCATCAATACTTGGTCATATATGAACTAAGCATGAAGAAATGATGATGATGTAGGTACCTGTCGAATCTCACCTCCACAACATTCCATTCTGGCATCATGCCTTCGCGACGTGAAGAAATCAAGTTATCGAAAATTATTGCACGATTTGTATTTCGTTCTTCCTGTATATGCTGCGCTATAATAGTTTTTTTTTGAAATAACTTACTCTTGTTGAACTGATCTTGTTACGTGTGTAATATTGCTGTTGAAGGCAAAATTCTGGCTATAATGTTGCTATAGAGTAGTGACGATGTTCGAATACTAGGCAGAGGCGTTCCTGCTCTTCAGTGCGTCCGTAACCGCCGATGTTGTCGATATCATTATTCATATCTTCGTATTCACTATCAAAATTATAGGTTATTATTGCGCTGAAGTTCTTTATTCCACAGACAACGTGTGGAATTCGAGCTGTTGCTTTTCTAAAATAAAAAGTTCAACCTTTCCGAGATTAGATTTTTAGAATTTTCTACTCGTCGAAGTTTTGCGGGCAATCATTTGGCCAAACACTCCCCCACCGTTTTCTCATATGAGGGCGTGTTGCCATAACTGCCGTAGAGATTGCAGAAGTCATGAATGATGGTCACCAATATTCTTCTTTATACAGAATACATGCTAAGTAAACTTTTTGTTTCTCTCAACCACTTCTATATGATTTTGCATGGAGCACGTACATCTCCACATTATTGTACTTATCTGAGAATTAGTCAGAATTCTTTCTATTTTGACTGCCACTTGCAGTGGTATGGTGTTATAGTATACCCAATAATGTGGAGTACTTGCGTCAGCCGGGATTTGAACCCACATCTCACTCTCTCCGGGAGCGAATGATAACCGTTGCACCACCGACGCTCGTTTTGCACAGCACTCTTGCACAACATCCAATGTCTGTCAACACAAGTGGGTTCAATGCCGATAGCGGCTGCCCCGCCAGACCGTCGACGGTTGGCTGTTGGCAGACAACGCGTTATAGCGTAAATAAGAGTGCTGTGCAAAACGAGCGTCGGTGGTGCAACGGTCAGAATTCGCTCTCGGAGAGAGTGAGATCTGGGTTCAAATCCCGGCTGACGCAAATGTTTTTGCACACTACTCCACGTTATTGGGTCTACTATAACACCATACCACTGCAAGTGGCAGTCAAATAAAAAGAATTCTGACTGATTATCGATATCCAATGTCTGTCAACACAAGTGGATTCAATGCCGATAGCGGCTGCCCCGCCAGACCGTCGACGGATGGCTGTTGGCAGACAACGCGTTATAGCGTAAATAAGAGTGCTGTGCAAAACGGGCGTCGGTGGTGCAAAGGTTAGCATTCGCTCCCGGAAAGAGTGCGATCTGGCTTCAAATCCCGGCTGACGCAAACGTTTTTGCACAGTACACCACATTATTGGGTATCTGAGAATTTCCAGAGTAAATGTTGCTTGAGAACTACCCTTTCTCATGTCTGTGCGAAGTCACTATATCTTCTGCAGGAGCGTTCTCTGACGTTTTGCTCATTTCGCCTTCGCATCACGTACCATGCAATACTATATCTAACTTCCAGCTAACGTTTCCCAAACTGGTAAAAATTTACTTTGGAATCGTGTTCTGTTTCTGTGTTTCTGTGGTTAATTTGCGATATCATTCAATAAATTTCAAGCTCGCATTCTAGCAAACGTGCAGGGGCGGTGATAATCAGCCAGAAAGCTAAAATGTTGTCAACTTATGGTTTCTTCATAATTTCGTTATTTCTGTTTTGCTTGCTTCCGTTCTTTACCTCAAAACAGAAAGTTTCGCATAGAGTTCAACCGTTGAAGAAGTTTGCAGTACCAACAACACCCGCTAAGGATGCTGCAAACCCTTTATTCTTCAAAGGCGTCTGGTAGCCGTGATTAGAGGGTTAGAGGTGCCGTGCAGCACATACGTGGTCGTTTGTTCAACACTACTCTGCAGGCTCTTCAAGCCGTCCATCTCCTCAGTGGCAAAACATTAACACGAAACTTGTCTAGGTGGAAATCAGCAGTGACTTGGTACATTGGTATCCAGCGCTGGTCTTTAGGATGATCTAATATGCATCCAGTCTACTCCTCTATTTTATAATGTCTTATCGGAGATCTTTTCTTCTTAGATCAGTGTAATTGTGTTTTTGTTCAGAAATACTCACGGAAATCATTCTTGGTTCTTCTGTTGGGCTGATTTATATGTAATCCCACTTAGCTTTATGAAATTTCCCCATTTCAACCTCATTCTAGGCACTTGCGAGTCAACCTATTTCAGGCTTTAATTGAATGATAAATGACAAGCAGGATCCATTGTGTTGCAGGTCCACATCTGGTCTATGTCAGTTGAACACTCTGTAGTGGTTGCAGTAGTGAATGCCCCGTTGAATGCTATGTGTTAGTATACCTGCCACGCGGATTAATTTATTAGAAATAACAGCCAGAATAAATCGTCTAAGAGAAAACAACCTAAAATAAACAATAATTACATATAATATATTCATATCCGCCAACCAATCCAATTGGCGGTTCAAAGGGCATATTCCGCAACAGTCCTTAAATCAATACATTGCAGTAGCTCGACTAGTAGCTATTTCGTAACATGAGTAGTATGTCAGCGTGGGTCAAATACATGAGGACAAAGAGTGAGAACCAATTGTAGTCTACTTAAAAGGTGTGCAAACGTCGATCAGGAGACGGGGGAACCAGGGAGGCTATCGTGGTCGCCTCGGAATGACGAAACCCCAGGGCGGTATGCCGGGTCGACGATGTGTGAGTAGCATAGTCGTCATAAGTCATAAAGTCTCACAGTGTATGTTCGAGATCGTCCTAAGAGCCCGCTACCCATCCCTAGGGGTGAGTCGCCCACGACCTCCACCATTGGGCACGTCTCCGTGACCTGGGTTTGCAATTACAATCTCTAGTGCAACATCGAGCAATCAATCATCAAGTAAAAGGTGGTGATCAAAATTACGTCTTATGGACAAAGTCAGCAATCAGCAACTGAACTGGGCCACATCGAGTCATAAACAATAATCGTAGTGATCAATAAGCTAAAGGGAGAAGGAAACGAATACGAAGACGAAAGGTAACCCGGCGGCCGCACGGACCAGTTGAAGGCACTCGACTCTCGTCGTCGTCGGCCCATGGCCTGCGTACCTCCAGTCCATGCTGCGCACCAGTCCTCCCTTAGCGCAACCGCCGCCACTCGCGTCCAAGTTTACCTTAACATCGAACTCATTGTATTATCACTCATATAGAAAGATAATATAAAAATAGCAATGAATGTTGCATGAGTTGCTATAGTGGGGACCCGAGAAGGCGAGGTTCGTTGTCCACTGTGCTCGTTGTTTCGTCCGTGACCGTGATAGAACCTGCAATGACGTGGTTAGTGACGTGTAACAATGAAGGTATGAAATTAGACTTAGGTGATTGTGTCTTTTGCGTGACGTCAGTGGATTGCTAGAGGTTGTTGGCCTCGTCTTGTTGCGTTGTCTTCGTTGTACCGTCATGCGTCTTTGCTCGTGGGCACAGGTTGTATCGTCTGTCTTCATGTTCGTCCTTGCTCTGCTGGTCATTGTTCACGTCTCGGGCCCGTGGTGGTTGTTCATCATCGTCCAACTCGAGAGGAATCAGTAGATTGATCGGTCGCCTGATAGTACGTCCGTTGGGCAGTCTTACTTGCGCTTCTCGTACCGCTCCACTGTCTGACTGCTGTATGCTAATGATTCGGCCCATTCTCCAGCTGTTTCGAGGTAGTATCGGTTCGTGAATAAGTACAACGGTTCCTGCTTTAGGTGAGATCGTTCGTGCCTCTCTTCTTAACCATGTTGAGCTTATGTGTCTCTCGTAAACTTCTGAGGTATTGCTGGCTCCAGATTGTCCAGTATCGTTCTGTTAACTTGTGGCTTGACCTAAGTGCTTTGATTGCTTGCTGCCTCGTCCTAATTGATGCGCTTTCGTCCGGTGGAAGGTAGTCCTGATCGTGATCCTAAGTTGCGACCGTCTCCATTGGGTACGTCAGCATCATGTCTCGTTGCACGAAGTCGATTGGGCGTAATATCAGCGAATCCTCCAAATCTTCTCCGACGTATGTTAGAGGCCTTGTATTTCAAGCTTCCTTCAATTTCCGTCAGTAGCGTAGTCAATTGAGACGACGTTGGACTCTTTTTCTGTAGCACTTTGTAGATGGAGTGCTTAACCGTTTTTATTCAGCCGTTCATAGAACGCTCCTTGCCATGGGGCATAGGGAGTTATGGTTCTCCATGTGATACCGTGATCTGCCATCGTTCTTGTGAATGAACCATCTTCTGTCATGGGTGCTATAGCTGTACGTAGGATCTGCTCTGCGAGACTGAAATTAGTTGCGTTATCTGACGTAATTGACCGTGGAATTCCGCGTCTTGCGAAGAATCGTCGCAGGGCTAATAATAACTCGTCGGTAGTCATGTCCAGTACCAGCTCTAGGTGGAGTGAACTTGTCGTAGCGCATGTTAGAATCACTCCGTATCCTTTCTTTGTGCAATCTTTATCTTTTATCGACAGTGGACCGAAGTAGTCTATTCCTATGTGTTGGAACGGGCGTGATTTGATAACTCTTCTTTCGGGCAAGTCTTCCATAGTCGGATATCTATACGGCAGGTTGTTCATCTTCTGGCAAGGTACGCACTTCCTGACTATCCGGCGCGCCATCTGTCTTAGTCGAGGTATCCAAAATCGTTGTCTGACGTTAGCCATTGTGTGGTTTGTTCCGGCATGGTATGGAAGATGTCCCTCCTTCACTATTGCCTCAGCTAGTGGAGTCTTCGGTATGATAAGCACTGGCCGCTTAGTTTCAAATGAAACGTCTGCTCTGCCATTCGTCCCTTACACCGGAGAATGCCGTGATCGTCTTGGTAAACGTTGAAGGTTTCTGAGTAATTTCCGTGAGTAGTGCGGATAATGAACTGTTTTGATGATTTCTTATAAGTACACGTAGCGCCATTTCACCTTCTGTGGCCGTAATGTTGGGTCCTGATGACATTGAATTGAGCTCCGGAATGCTTCTGAGTATACGATCGCGTAGTTCTTCTCGTGTTTGCAAGAGCAGCTTTTTGATAAACCGAAGGACGTATGTCATGATTCGCTTCGCTGTTCTCATCTAGTTGATACGTTTCCAATCCAGTAGCTCCTTCTCGATATCAGCGCTCGTCTGCAGAACCGTAGCAGTTTCTGTTGTTTGTTCCGTTTCCTGCTCTAAGCTGAATAGACGATTGTGGTTTTGGGAAAGTTGCTCCTTGATGAATGGAGGTCCTGTCCACCATATGTGATGTTCGAACTCGACCTTGTTCAGTCCTCTTGTTGCGCAGTCTGCTACGTTTTGATCAGTCGTCACGTATCCAAATTGTATCGGTTTGTCTAATTCGGTTACAATTCGCCGTATTTCCATTATTCGGTTTCTCACCAGTGTTCCGCAATCTCTTCCTGTTATGTTAGATCTCAACCAGTTCAAGGCGATTTCCGAATCGGACAGTATGGTTATCTGCTCTATGCGTAGCTGACTTCCTAAGGCTGCGCAGATCGAGTACGCCAGACGAGTTGCCATTGTTATAGGCGTTGAGCTCCAGTTTGGGAATCGTGGTGATTGGATTTGAGCGATTGCAGTTTGGATTTTGCTGTGAGAAGATGTGACTCATCATTTGTTGTGAGGTATGCGCATGTCGCCATACAATGCTTGCTGGCGTCCGCGAAGAGAAACAGCTTGCTAGGAACTCCGATTTGGAGCGATTTTCCTCGGAAGACGTGCTCTCAAATCCGTCAAAAGCGTTTGCTATTCTGCTCCATTGTTCCATATGCTCTGGTTAGTTGGTCGTCCCCTTGTAGTTATGTGTCCATAGCTCCTGGTAGAACAGTTTCCCTGGTAA